TCGTATTGGAAGGTTGTGGAATGTAGTGTAATGCATGAGTTATACAAAATCTGAGTGAAGCAGCCAAATAAATCCAAGGGATCAGAGGATACAGAAGCCCACTTGGGAAGTCCTGAGTAAAGAGGTAGCACAGATCTTTGACAGTGCTACGTAAAGGATTATCATCTGGGGAACCAGACACTAAAGGCAAACTGAACGAAAACTGAGTGTTTGGCAAGCACTATATCAACTAGACTGCTAGACTAACCAGAGAAAAAAGAATTTATTTGGAATACTAGGAGACACCCACTAGTTTCTCATGGGCCATTTGAATTGGAAGTTTAGGGCACCAATAGTTAACATCGAAGTACTGTTGATAGTCCGTAAAGTGGGTGCTGAGGTTTGGTGAACTTTGCAATAGCACAAAGTAGGTAATGGTAGCAGAGGTAAAAAGCCACAAGTACTTGGTTGTGGCCTAGGCATAAGTTACTAAAAATCTAGATGATACATGTGTGGAATATGGACCATTCTGGTAGATTTACTACAAGGATAAAAGACCCTCTATATGGTAGTGTGTGACTGCTTTAAAGTCCTAAGAGGCTTATACGGCAGTTCCTCTTTGGGGAAAAAATTCTAATGGTGCTAAGTTGATTAAAGGGTTTAATTGAGTAACTCAAGTAATAGTGGATTACAGATATGGCATTTAGTGTAGTTCATATAGATTACATATACAAGACTGCTTAAATAAACAACCAAAAGTTGTACATATAACTAGAATGTATCCTCGTTAATGTAACAAAGTTAGAGACAGCCCATGTGGTTATCTTAGCATTTGATCCAAAGTTTAATAAAATGTGTCAGACCCCAAAGTGGTCCCCTTTCTAAGATAATCTGATAAGTATGAGAACCCTATTGGGTTATCTATAGAATTAGGGCACAAGTAGTGTGCATATATCAATCTGGGTGGTCTTCAATGAAGCAGCACAAGGTTATGGATTGGTGTAATTGAAGTGGTAATACAGAACAGGTGACATTAGAGAGTTTAATTAGATAGCTCAAGTAATAGTGGGTTATAAGTATGGCATCTAGTGTAGACTCTAGTACTAGGTAGTTACTTAATTAGGTGCTCAAAAAGCACAAGTATGGCTAGAATGTACTCTTGTTAACCAAGAAAGTATTACTAATATATTCGCACTTTTGTGACATTGTGAAAATAAAAAAAAATAAATAAAAATAGCAACAAATATATAAATATATAGACGTTATTTTATGTGACCCATCGCTATGATAACCCTCGTGATCGACCAATCAAAGTCGATCATGTGTATCCTTATTTTCAAAAAAGTCACGTAATTTCCGTTTTTGTTGATCACTTGATTGTGTAATAACGCCGGATACAGCGACTCCATTCGTGTAACTCAGAATTACGATCTCTTAAACTATCTGTTACAAAAAAAAAATTAAAAATTAGGGGTAGCTGCACGATACAGTCGCGCTAGAACCAGAAACGTGGAATTTAAGCATAGCAATTATATATAATAAAATGAGGTTTTTGTTAAAGCAAAAATAACTCAAGTTAGCTATACATAAATCTATCGATTCAGGGCACAAGAATCTAACTCCTATATGACGCAAGAATCTAACTCTATACAATACAAGAATCCAACTCCTACACAGCACAAGAATTCATGTCCGGTGAAGTCTAAAAACCCAAAAAAAAAACAGAAAGTTAGTAACAAAACTAGCAAGACAAAAAAAAAAAAATCAAAGAAAATTAATACCTTATCTAAAAATGCTACACACATGTTTCCCGATACTGATTTATGTTCGGCAAAGCTTAAAAACCCCAAAGAAAAAAAAGAAGTTAGTAACAAGGCTAAAAAAAAAAAAAAAAAAAATTGAAAAACAAAAATCTATTACCTGAAAATGCACATACTGTAAACGTTGATAGGAGAGCTTAATAAGATTATGTGAATAAAGAGCCAATTTAAATCCAATGATGTACAGAGAGATAAAAATAAACTTAAAAAATGAAGGGTGTCTTTTTAACTGTTGAAGGTCTATTGAGACAATATGACACTGAAACGAAGGCTTTAATATTAAGAGAGATCATAATAAGGTGAAAAAACTACAGGTGATGCTGTTAGAGATACTTCAATAAGGATGGTGAGGTAAAAGCGGATGATAATCAAGTGGTAACGGGGATAACTTTAAGTCCACATGGGTCATTAACAGGGTCAAATAACCAATCATAAACCTTGTTCTCTACTACAATTCTCGCAAGTCACTAAGGTGAATGGCAATATCTGATTCCACAATCGTTCCAGAATCTGAGTCTAATAAGCCAAATCGAAGTTACAAGTCAATTCAGTTCGTCAAATTGAGTCTCGAAAGGGTTTATTAAAGTTACAAGCCGAATTCAAAGACAATGTGCAAAGGAAGATTCAGATAAGTATATACTTTATTCAAGCGAAAACGAAACAATTATTTAGGATGAATTCTTTAGTAATCCTAAAATAGAACCAAAAGATTCTAATTTTTTCAAAAAATTGGCGTAGCTTCTATTTTGATAGGCGTTTTGACTTTTCTCTAACTTTTAACAAAGATATCTCCACAACCACCTGACCAAATTTGATGAAAATTTTTTTATTTGAATTCTATGGATCCATAGAATTCAAATAAAAAAATTTTCATCGAATTTGATCAGGTGGTTGTGGAGATATCTTTGTTAAAAGTTAGAGAAAAGTCAAAATACCTATCAAAATAGAAGCTACGCCAATTTTTTAATTTGAGCAAAGATATCTCCAAACCACCTGACCAAATTCAATGAAAATTTTTTTATTTGAATTCTATGGATCCATAGAATTCAAATTCATCAAATTTGGTCAGGTAGTGTGGAGATATCTTCGATAAAAGTTAAAGAAAAGTCAAAACGCTTATCAAAATAGAAGCTACGCCAATTTTTTAATTTGAGCAAAGATATCTCCACAACCACCTGAACCAAAATTTGATGATTTGAATTCTATGAATCCATAGAATTCAAATAAAAAAAATTTTATCGAATTTGGTTAGGTGGTTGTGGAGATATCTTCACTCAAATTTTTTTAAAAAATTGGCATAGCTTCTATTTTGATAGGCATTTTGACTTTTCTCTATCTTTTAGCGAAGATATCTCCACAACCATCTGATCAAATTCGATGAAAATTTTTTTATTTGAATTATATGGGTCCATAGAATTCAAATAAAAAAATTTTCATTGAATTTAGTCAGGTGGTTGTGGAGATATCTTCACTCAAAATTTTGATTTTTCTCTAACTTTTAGTTCTCCACAATTATATGACCAAATTCGATGAAAGTTTTTTTATTTGAATTCTATGGATCCATAGAATTCAATTAAAAAAATTTCATCGAATTTGGTGGAGATATCGTCGCTCAAATTTTTTATTATCAAAAATCATCAATACATTGTTAACACATCGTTAGAACATGATCAACAAATTACGAGATTTTTTTTTTAAAAAAAAAAATCAACGATGTATCTTTACACAAATGTTTTAATTTATTTTCATCTGAGATCATAACCTCTATATATTCGATGCCAACTTCGCATTTTATTTATAAAAAAAAAAAAAAAAAAAAAAAAAAAAAAAAGGCAAATCTATTTATCACTACTGGGTACAACTCTAAAACACCAAATCCACCCATCTACTGCAACAAAGGACGGCAAGAACCACTGAAAACCCACGAAAAAACCTTGGAAGAACCACCCGAAAAACCACCGAAAAATAACGAAGAATCCTTGGAAGAACCGACGAAGAATCCCTGGAAAAACCACTGAAAAATGACGAAGAATCCTTGGAAGAACCACGGAAGAACCACCAAAGAATCTTTGGAAGAACCACCGAAGAACGATGAAGAATCCTTAGAAGAACTACCGAAAAACGACGAAGAATCCTTGGAAGAACCACCGAAAAATGACGAAGAATCCTTGAAAGAACCACCGAAAAATGACGAAGAATCCTTGGAAGAACCACCAAAAAACAACGAAGAATCCTGGAAGAACCACCGAAAAACAACGAAGAATCCTTGGAAGAACCACCAAAAAACAACAAAGAATCCTTGGAAGAACCACCAAAAAACAACAAGAATCCCTGGAAGAACCACTGAAAGAACTACTGAAAAACAACGAAGAATCCTTGGAAAACCCACCGAAAAACGACAAAGAATCCTTGGAAACCCCACCGAAAAACGACGAAGAATCCTTGAAAGAACCACCGAAAAACGACGAAGAATCCTTGGAAGAACCACTGAAAAAGACGAAGAATCTTTGGAAGAACCACCGAAAAACGACAAGAATCCCTGGAAGAATCACCGAAAAAACTACCGAAAAACGATGAAGAATCCTTGGAAGAAACACCGAAAAACGACATGAATCCCTAAAAAAACTACTGAAAGAACCACCGAAAAACGACGAAGAATCCTTGGAAAATACACCGAAAAATGACGAAGAATCCTTAGAAACCTACCGAAAAACGACGAAGAATCCTTAGAAGAACCACTGAAAAATGACAAGAATCCCTAGAAGAACCACCGAAAAAACCACTGAAAAATGACAAAGAATCCTTGGAAGAACCACCGAAAACCCACCGAAACTTCACGAATTTACTGGAAAAAAAAAATGATGAAAACTCTACGAATTTACTAAAAAAACTCAACGAAAACTCACTGAAAATTCACAGAAGAACCCACCAAAAAACAACTGACTGAGAACGACGAATTTACCGAAAGAACCCACAGAAAAACGAAGAATTTACCGAAAGAAACCACAAAAAATGACGAAGTTATTGAACAACCCACCGAAAATGACGAATTTACTCGAAAAATAGCAACGAACTTGCCGGAAGAACCCAACGAAAAACCTATTAAGCCTACGAAAGAACCCACAGAAAAACAATGAAGAACTTGGCAGAAGAACTTAATGAAAAAAAAACTTACCGAATTACCGAAATCTGATGATCTAAGCGCGACTTCACGAGGCTCCAACTACTGCTCCAACAACAGCACCAACGAAAGCTTCAGTGACAGCACCAATGACGACTCCAGCAATGATTCCAGTGACGACTCTAATGAAGATTCAAAATAACAACTAAAAAAAAAAATACCATGTTAAAAAAAAAAAAATTGAAACTCCAAGAACGACGACTTCAAGAAAAGAAGCAGCTAAAAAAAGAGAAAAGTTAGTACCCGTAGCAAAAAAAAACAAACTAGTAAAAAAAAAAAAAACCACTTATCCAAAAAACCGGTCCAGTCCCATTTCACTAAAGGGAGAGATAAAAAGACCTAAAGGAAGAGAGAAGTTAGTAACAGTAACAAAAAAAAGAAAGAAAAAAAAAATATATACTTATCTAAAGAAAATCCAAAGTATTGCGAAATAAAAAAAAAAAAAAAAAACAAAAAAAAATCTAGATTTACCGTTACCTTTAGCGTTAGCGTTAGATCTAAATTCAGATCGAACCCAGATCGAATCCAGATCAGATCCAGATCGAAACAATCTAAAAAATGATTGGTCGATCATATAGGGGTCGCATAGCGACGGGTCGCTATTTTATTTTTGCCAAAAAAAAATATATAATGTTTAAGAAAAATAAAAAATATATATATAATTTGTTCAAAAGAATCTTTAAACAGTGTCTGATATCTCTTACAATAGATATTATTTTAATCGTGACTCAAATATAGAACCCAAAATGCTGTTATTTTTTTTAAGAAAAAACAATCTTTTAAATAAGCTAGTGTTAATTGATGTATGTTTTTCTGTTATTAAATTATCCACACTTGAGAATAAGCATTCACTAGATATTAATATAGAAGATATAGCCAAATATTTGCATGCCAAATTGGCAAGAACTGGATATTTTTCTTGAACATCTTTCCACCAATTAAGTGAATTGGTTGTAGTTAGCATTTGATCAAGTTTAAGGTATTCATCTATTTCATTTTTATTTAGTATTGTATCTGATCCAAATATTATTGAAAAAAATTTATTTAATTTTTATTGTGTTTTATGTTCACTAAATTAGTAATACTTTTATTTCTAGTATTTAGTATATTATATTTTTCTTGCAAAAGATTAATAGCCTTATTATATTCTCAACTATCTAATTTTTTTATTGACTTACAATATAGGTCAAGTAATATTACAATTAATTGATGATTCTCCAGTGAACAGAAGAATGATCATAGTGTAACGTGATGCGGTTTTATATATAAATTACTATAGACAGAAATCTGAAAAATTTCTTAAG